AGAAAAAGATTTTTTTGAAAAAATCCCTAAGCCCCAGGGTCACAATGTCATAAAAACTCTGACTTTCGGTATTTCACTCAAAACTGGGGCCAAGCGGTTGCAAATGCTCCACTGACAGGTTTGGTGGTCGAATCAGAAAGCTTTTATCACAGGACAAGAAATCAGCCCTCGACGACTTAACCGGAAGAAAAAGATTTTTTTGAAAAAATCCCTAAGCCCCAGGGTCACAATGTCATAAAAACTCTGACTTTCGGCAATTCACTCAAAAATGGGGCCAAGCGGTTGCAAATGCTCCCCTGACAGGTATGGTGGTCGAAGCAGAAAGCTTTTATCACCGGAAAAGAAATCAGCCCTGGACGACTTAACCGGAAGAAAAAGATTTTTTTGAAAAAATCCCTAAGCCCCGGGGTCACAATTTCATTAAAAATCTGACTTTCGGCAATTCACTCAAAAATGGTGCCAAACGGTTGCAAAAGCTCCCCTGAAAGGTTTGTCTGTGTAAACAGAAGGCTTTTTATCACATGGCAGGAAATCAGCCCTCGACAACTTCACGGGCAGAAAAAGATTTTTTTGAAAAAATCCCTAAGCTCCGGGGTCACAATTTCATCAAAAATCTGATGTTCTCCAATTCACTCAAAAATGGTGCCAAACGGTTGCAAATGCTCCCCTGAGATGTTTGGCGTTCGAAAAAGAAGGCTTTTTATCACAGGAAAAGAAATCAGCCCTGGACGACTGAACCGGCAGAAAAAAGATTTTTTTTGAAAAATCCCTAAGCCCCGGGCTCACAATTTCATTAAAAATCTGACTTTCGGCAATTCACTCAAAAATGGTGCCAAACGGTTGCAAAAGCTCCCCTGAAAGGTTTGTCGGTGTAAACAGAAGGCTTTTTGTCACAGGAAAAGAATTCAGCGCCCGACAACTTAACCCGTAGAAAAAGATTTTTTCAAAAAAAGCCCTGAGCCCCCGGGGTCACAATTTCATCAAAAATCTGACTTTCGGAAATTCACTCAAAAATGGGGCCTAATGGTTGCAAATGTTCGCCTGAAAGGTTTGGCGGTCGAAACAGAAGACTTTTTATCACATGGCAGGAAATCAGCCCTCGACAACTTCACCGGCAGAAAAAGATTTTTTTGAAAAAATCCCTACGCCCCGGGGTCACAATTTCATCAAAAATCTGACTTTCGGCAATTCACTCAAAAATTGGGCTAAACGGTTGCAAATGCTCCCCTGAAAGGTTTGGCGGTCAAAACAGAAAACTTTTTATCACAGGACATGAAATCAGCTCTCGACAACTTCACCGGCAGAAAGAGATTTTTTTGAAAAAATCTGTAAGCCCCGGGGTCACAATTTCATCAAAAATCTGACTTTCGGCAATTCACTCAAAAGTGGTGCCAAACGGTTGCAATCGCTCCCCTGAAGGTTTGGCGGTCGAAACCGTAGACTTTTTAGCACAAGAAAAGAAATGAGCCCTCGACGACTTAACCGGCGGAAAAAGATTTTTTTGAAAAAATCCCTAAGCCACGGGATCACAATTTCATCAAAAATCTGACTTTTTCCAATTCACTCAAAAACGGTGCCGAACGGTTGCAAATGCTCCTGTGTGAGGTTTGGCGGTCGAAACAGAAGGCTGTTTATCACAGGACAAGAAATCAGCCCTTGACAACTTCACCGGCAGAAAAGATTTTTTGAAAAAATCCCTAAGCCCTAGGGTCACAATTTCATCAAAATCTGACTTTCAGCAATTCAGTCAAAAATGGTGGCAAACTTTCTATCACAGGAAAAGAAATCATCCCTCGAAAACTTAACCGGCAGAAAAAGATTTTTTTGAAAAAAGTCCCTAAGCCCCGGGGTCACAATTTCATCAAAAATCTGACGTTTTCCAATTCACTCAAAAATGGTGCCAAACGGTTGCAAATGCTACCCTGAGAGGTTTGTCATTCGAAATAGAAGGCTTTTTATCAAAGGAGAAGAAATCCACCCTCGACAACTTAACCGGCAGAAAAAGATTTTTTTTGAAAAAATCCCTAAGCCCCGGGGTCACAATTTCATCAAAAATCTGACTTTCGGCAATTCACTCAAAAATGGTGCCAAACGGTTGCAAAAGCTCCCCTGAAAGGTTTGTCGGTGTAAAGAGAAGGCTTTTTATCACATGGCAGGAAATCAGCCCTCGAAAACTTCACCGGCAGAAAAAGATTTTTTTGAAAAAATCCATAAGCTCCGGGGTCACATTTTCATCAAAAATCTGATGTTCTCCAATTCACTAAAAAAATGGTGCCAAACGGTTGCAAATGCTCCCCTGAGATGTTTCGCGTTCGAAAAAGAAGGGTTTTTATCACAGGAAAAGAAATCAGCCCTGGACGACTTAACCGGCAATAAAAGATTTTTTGAAAAAATCCCTAAGCCCCGGGGTCACAATTTCATCAAAAATCTGACTTTTTCCAATTCACTTAAAAATGGTGCCAAACAGTTGCAAATGCTCCCCTGAGAGCTTTGGCGGTCGAAACAGAAGACTTTCTATCACAGGAAAAGAAATCAGCCTTCGACAACTTAACCGGCAGAAAAAGATTTTTTTGAGAAATCCCTAAGCCCCGGGGTCACAATTTCATCAAAAATCTTACTTTCGGCAATTCACTCAAAAGTGGTGCCAAACGGTTGCAATCGCTCCCCTGAGAGGTTTGGCGGTCGAAACCGTAGACTTTTTATCACAAGAAAAGAAATGAGCCCTCGACGACTTAACCGGCGGAAAAAGATTTTTTTGAAAAAATCCCTAAGCCACGGGATCACAATTTCATCAAAAATCTGACTTTTTCCAATTCACTTAAAAATGGTGCCAAACGGTTGCAAATGCTACCCTGAGAGGTTTGTCGTTCGAAATAGAAGGCTTTTTATCAAAGGACAAGAAATCCAACCTCGACGACTTAACCGGCAGAAAAAGATTTTTTTTGAAAAAATCCCTAAGCCCCGGGTCACAATTTCATGAAAAATCTGACTTTCGGCCTTTCACTCAAAAATGGTGCCAAACGGTTGCAAATGCTCCCCTGATTGGTTTGGCTTTCGAAACAGAATGCTTCTTATCACAGGACAAGAAATCAGCCCTCAACAACTTAACTGGCAGAAAAAGATTTCTTTGAAAAATCCCTAAGCTCCGGGGTCACAATTTCATCAAAAATCTGACGTTCTACAATTCACTCAAAAATGGGGCTAAATGGTTGCAAATGCTCCCTGAAAGGTTTGGCGGTCGAAACAGAAAACTTTTATCACAGGACAGGAAATCAGCTCTCAAAAACTTAACCGGCAGAAAAAGATTTTTTTGAAAAATCCCTAAGCCCCGGGGTCACAATTTCATCAAAAATCTGACTTTCGGCAATTCACTGAAAAATGATGCCAAATAGTTGCAAATGCCCCCATGAGAGGTTTGGTGGTCGAAACAGAAGGCGTTCTAGCACAGGGGAAGAAATCAGCCCTCGACAACTTAACCGGCAGAAAAAGATTTTTTTGAAAAAATCCCTAAGTTCCGGGGTCACAATGTCATAAAAATTCTGACGTTCTAAAATTGACTCAAAAATGGGGCTAAATGGTTGCAAATGCTCCCCTGACAGGTTTGGTGGTCGAATCAGAAAGCTTTTATCACAGGACAAGAAATCAGCCCTTGACAACTTCACCGGCAGAAAAAGATTTTGTGGAAAAAATCCCTAAGCCCTGGGGTCACAATTTCATCAAAAATCTGACTTTCAGCAATTCAGTCAAAAATGGTGGCAAACTTTCTATCACAGGAAAAGAAATCATCCCTCGAAAACTTAACCGGCAGAAAAAGATTTTTTTGTAAAAAGTCCCTAAGCCCCGGGGTCACAATTTCATCAAAAATCTTACTTTCGGCAATTCACTCAAAAATGGTGCCAAACGGTTGGAAATGCTCCCCTGAGAGATTTGGCATCGAATCAGAAAGCTTTTTATCACAGGACAAGAAATCAGCCCTCGACGACTTAACCGGAAGAAAAAGATTTTTTTGAAAAAATCCCTAAGCCCCAGGGTCACAATGTCATAAAAACTCTGACTTTCGGTATTTCACTCAAAACTGGGGCCAAGCGGTTGCAAATGCTCCACTGACAGGTTTGGTGGTCGAATCAGAAAGCTTTTATCACAGGACAAGAAATCAGCCCTCGACGACTTAACCGGAAGAAAAAGATTTTTTTGAAAAAATCCCTAAGCCCCAGGGTCACAATGTCATAAAAACTCTGACTTTCGGCAATTCACTCAAAAATGGGGCCAAGCGGTTGCAAATGCTCCCCTGACAGGTATGGTGGTCGAAGCAGAAAGCTTTTATCACAGGAGAAGAAATCAGCCCTCGAAAACTTAACCGGCAGAAAAAGATTTTTTTGAAAAAATCCCTAAGCCCCAGGGTCACAATTTCATCAAAAATCTGACTTTCGGCAATTCACTCAAAAATGGTGCCAAACGGTTGCAAATGCTACCCTGAGATGTTTGGCGTTCGAAAAAGAAGGCTTTTTATCACCGGAAAAGAAATCAGCCCTGGACGACTTAACCGGCAGAAAAAGATTTTTTTGAAAAAATCCCTAAGCCCCGGGGTCACAATTTCATTAAAAATCTGACTTTCGGCAATTCACTCAAAAATGGTGCCAAACGGTTGCAAAGCTCCCTGAAAGGTTTGTCTGTGTAAACAGAAGGCTTTTATCACATGGCAGGAAATCAGCCCTCGACAACTTCACGGGCAGAAAAAGATTTTTTTGAAAAAATCCCTAAGCTCCGGGGTCACAATTTCATCAAAAATCTGATGTTCTCCAATTCACTCAAAAATGGTGCCAAACGGTTGCAAATGCTCCCCTGAGATGTTTGGCGTTCGAAAAAGAAGGCTTTTTATCACAGGAAAAGAAATCAGCCCTGGACGACTTAACCGGCAGAAAAAGATTTTTTTGAAAAAATCCCTAAGCCCCGGGCTCACAATTTCATCAAAAATCTGACTTTCGGCAATTCACTCAAAAATGGTGCCAAACGGTTGCAAAAGCTCCCCTGAAAGGTTTGTCGGTGTAAACAGAAGGCTTTTTGTCACAGGAAAAGAAATCAGCCCCCGACAACTTAACCGGCAGAAAAAGATTTTTTCAAAAAAAAGCCCTGAGCCCCCGGGGTCACAATTTCATCAAAAATCTGACTTTCGGAAATTCACTCAAAAATGGGGCCTAATGGTTGCAAATGTTCGCCTGAAAGGTTTGGCGGTCGAAACAGAAGACTTTTTATCACATGGCAGGAAATCAGCCCTCGACAACTTAACCGAGCGGAAAAGATTTTTTTGAAAAAGTCCCTAAGGCACGGGATCACAATTTCATCAAAAATCTGATGTTCTCCAATTCACTCAAAAATGGTGCCAAACGGTTGCAAATGCTCCCTGAGATGTTTGGCGTTCGAAACAGAAGGCTTTTTATCACAGGAAAAGAAATCAGCCCTGGACGACTTAACCTGCAGATAAAGATTTTTTTGAAAAAATCCGGATACCCAGGGGTCACAATTTCATAAAAAATCTGACTTTTTCCAATTCACTCAAAAATGGGGCTAAATGGTTTCAAATGCTCCCCTGAAAGGTTTGGCGGTCGAAACAGAAAACTTTTTATCACAGGACAGGAAATCAGCTCTCAACAACTTCACCGGCAGAAAAAGATTTTTTTGAAAAAATCCCTAAGGCCCGGGGTCACAATTTCATCAAAAATCTGACTATCGGCAATTCACTGAAAAATGCTGCCAAACAGTTGCAAATGCCCCCATGAGAGGTTTGGTGGTCGAAACAGAAGACTTTCTATCACAGGAAAAGAAATCAGCCTTCGACAACTTAACCGGCAGAAAAGTTTTTTTGAGAAATCCCTAAGCCGCGGCGTCACAATTTCATCAAAAATCTGACTTTCGACAATTCACTGAAAAATGCTGCCAAACAGTTGCAAATGCCCCCATGAGAGGTTTGGTGGTCGAAACAGAAGGCGATATAGCACAGGGGAAGAAATCAGCCCTCGACAACTTAACCGGCAGAAAAAGATTTTTTTGAAAAAATCCCTAAGTTCCGGGGTCACAATTTCATCAAAAATCTGACTTTCTAAAGTTGACTCAAAAATGGGGCTAAATGGTTGCAAATGTACTGCTGAGAGGTTTGGCAGTTGAAAACGTAGACTTTTTATCACAAGAAAAGAAATGAGCCCTCAATAACTTCACGGGCAGAAAAAGATTTTTTTTAAAAAAATCCCTCATCAAAAATCTGACTTTCGGCATTTCACTCAAAAATGGTGCCAAACGGTAGCAAATGCTCCCCTGAGAGGTTTGGCAGTCGAAACAGAAGGCTTTCTATCACAGGAAAAGTAATCAGCCCCCGACAACTTAACCGGCAGAAAAAGATTTTTTCAAAAAAAGCCCTGAGCCCCCGGGGTCACAATTTCATCAAAAATCTGACTTTTGGAAATTCACTCAAAAATGGGGCTAAATGGTTGCAAATGCTCCCCTGAAAGGTTTGGCGGTCGAAACAGAAAACTTTTTATCACAGGACAGGAAATCAGCTCTCAACAACTTCACCGGCAGAAAAAGATTTTTTTGAAAAAATCCCTAAACCCCGGGGTCACAATTTCATCAAAAATCTGACTTTCAGCAATTCAGTCAAAAATCGTGGCAAACTTTCTATCACAGGAAAAGAAATCATCCCTCGACAACTTAACCGGCAGAAAAAGATTTTTTTGAAAAAAGGCCCTAAGCCCCGGGGTCACAATTTCATCAAAAATCTGATGTTCTCCAATTCACTCAAAAATGCTGCCAAAAAGTTGCAAAAGCTCCCCTGACAGGTTTGGTGGTCGAATCAGAAAGCTTTTATCACAGGACAAGAAATCAGCCCTCGACTACTTAACCAGCAGAAAAAGATTTTTTTGAAAAAATCCCTTAGCCCCGGAGTCACAATTTCATCAAAAATCTGACTTTCGGCAATTCACTCAAAAATGGTGCCAAACGGTTGCAAACGGTCCCCTGAAAGGTTTGTCGGTGGAAACAGAAGGTTTTTTGTCACAGGAAAAGAAATCAGCCCACGACAACTTAAGCGGCAGAAAAAGATTTTTTTGAAAAAAATCCCTAAGCCCCGGGGTCACAATTTCATCAAAAATCTTACTTTCGGCAAATCACTCAAAAATGGTGCCAAACGGTTGCAAATGCTCCCCTGAGAGGTTTGGCGGTCGAAACCGTAGACTTTTTATCAAAAGAAAAGAAATGAGCCCTTGACGACTTAACCGGCGGAAAAAGATTTTTTTGAAAAAATCCCTAAGGCACGGTATCACAATTTCATCAAAAATCTGATGTTCTCCAATTCACTCAAAAATGGTGCCAAACGGTTGCAAATGCTCCCCTGAGATGTTTGGCGTTCGAAACAGAAGGCTTTTTATCACAGGAAAAGAAATCAGCCCTGGACAACTTAACCTGCAGATAAAGATTTTTTTGAAAAAATCCGTATACCCCAAGGTCACAATTTCATAAAAAATCTGACTTTTTCCAATTCACTCAAGAATGGTGTCAAACGGTTGCAAAAGCTACCCTGAGAGGTTTGTTGTTCGAAATAGAAGGCTTTTTATCAAAGGACAAGAAATCAGCCCTCGACGACTTAACCGGAAGGAAATTTTTTTTTTGAAAACATCCCTAAGCCCCGGGTCATAATTTCATCAAAAATCTGACTTTCGGCATTTCACTCAAAAATGGTGCCAAACGGTTGCAAATGCTCCCCTGAGAGGTTTGGCGTTCGAAACAGAAGGCTTTTTATCACAGGACAAGAAATCAGCCCTCGACGACTTAACCGGCAGCAAATGATTTTTTTGAAAAAATCCCTAAGATACGGGGTGACAATTTCATCAAAAATCTGACATTCTCCAATTCACTAAAAAGGGTGCCAAACGGTTGCAAATACTCCCCTGAGAGGTTCGGCAGTCGAAACACAACGCTTTTTATCACAGGACAAGAGATCAGCCCTCGACGACTTAACAGGCAGAAAAAGACTTTTTTGAAAAATACCTCTTCCAAAATCTGACTTTCAGCTATTCACTCAAAAATGGTGCCAAACTGTTGCAAATGCTCCCCTCAGAGGTTTGGCGGTTGAATCAGAAGGCTTTTTATCAAAGGAAAATAAATCAGCCCTCGATGACTTAACCGGCAGAAAAATATTTTTTTGAAAAATCCCTCATCAAAAATCTGACTTTCATCAATTCACTCAAAAATGGTGCCAAACGCTTGCAAATGCACCCCTGAAAGATTTGGCGGTCGAAAAAGAAGGCTTTTTATTACAGGACAAGAAATCAGCCCTCGACAACTTAACCGGCAAAAAAAGACTATTTTGAAAAAATCCCTAAGCCCCGGGGTCACAATTTCATCAAAAATCTGACTTTCAGCAATTCACTCAAAAATGGTGCCAAACGGTTTCAAAAGCTCCCTTGAAAGGTTTGGCGGTCGAAACAGAAGGCTTTCTATTACAGGAAAATAAATCAGGCATCGATGACTTAACCGGCAGAAAAAGATTTTTTTAAAAAAATGCCTCATCAAAAATCTGAATTTCGGCATTTCACTCAAAAATGGTGCCAAACTGTTGCAAATGCTCCCCTGAGAGGTTTGGGGATCGAAACAGAAGCCTTTTTATCACAGGAAAAGAAAAAAGGCCCTCAACAACTTAACCGGCAGAAAAAGATTTTTTTGTAAAATTCCTCTTGAAAAAATCTGAATATCGTCATTTTACTCAAAAATGGGGCCAAACGGCAGCAAATTATCCCCTGAAAGGTTTGGCGGTCGAATCAGAAAGCTTTTTATCACAGGACAAGAAATCAGCCCTCGATGACTTAAACGGCAGAAAAAGACTTTTTTGAAAAATCCCTAAGCCCCGGGCCACAATTTCATCAAAAATCTGACTTTCCGCGTTTCATTCAAAAATGGGGCCAAACGGTTGCAAATGCTCCCCTGAAACTTTTGATGGTAGAAAGAGAAGGCTTTTTATCACAGGAAAAGAAATCAGCCCTCGACAACTTAACCGGCACAAAAAGATATTTTTGAAAAAATCCCTAAGCCCCGGGGTCACAATTTCATCAAAAATCTGACTTTCAGCAATTCACTCAAAAATGGAGGCAAACGGTTGCAAAAGCTCCCCTGGTAGGTTTGGCGGTCGAAACAGACGGCTTTTTATGATAGGAAAATAAATGACCCCTCAACAACTTAACCGGCACAAAAAGATTTTTTTGAAAAAATCCCTAAGCCCCGGGGTCACAATTTCATCAAAAATCTGACTTTCGGCAATTCAGTCAAAAATGGTGTCAAACGGTTGAAAATGCTCCCCTGGTAGGTTTGGCGGTCGAAACAGAAGCCTTTTTATCACAGGAAAAGAAATCAGCCCTCGACAACCTAACCGGCAGAAAAAAGATTTTTTTGAAAAAATCCCTAAGCCACGGGGTCACAATTTCATTAAAAATCTGACTCTCGGCAATTCACTCAAAAATGGTGCCAAACGGTTGCAAATCCTCCCCTGACAGGTTTGGCAGTCGAAACAGAAGGCTTTTTATCACAGGAGAAGAAATCAGCCCTCAACAACTTAACCGGCAGAAAAAGATTTTTTTGTAAAATTCCTCTTGAAAAAATCTGAATTTCGTCATTTTACTCAAAAATGGGGCCAAACGGCAGCAAATTATCCCCTGAAAGGTTTGGCGGTCGAATCAGAAAGCTTTTTATCACAGGACAAGAAATCAGCCCTCGATGACTTAAACGGCAGAAAAAGACTTTTTTGAAAAAATCCCTAAGCCCCGGGGCCACAATTTCATCAAAAATCTGACTTTCCGCGTTTCATTCAAAAATGGGGCCAAACGGTTGCAAATGCTCCCCTGAAACTTTTGATGGTAGAAAGAGAAGGCTTTTTATCACAGGAAAAGAAATCAGCCCTCGACAACTTAACCGGCACAAAAAGATATTTTTGAAAAAATCCCTAAGCCCCGGGGTCACAATTTCATCAAAAATCTGACTTTCAGCAATTCACTCAAAAATGGAGGCAAACGGTTGCAAAGCTCCCTGGTAGGTTTGGCGGTCGAAACAGACGGCTTTTTATGATAGGAAAATAAATGACCCTCAACAACTTAACCGGCACAAAAGATTTTTATAAAAAAATCCCTAAGCCCCGGGGTCACAATTTCATCAAAAATCTGACTTTCGGCAATTCAGTCAAAAATGGTGTCAAACGGTTGAAAATGCTCCCCTGGTAGGTTTGGCGGTCGAAACAGAAGCCTTTTTATCACAGGAAAAGAAATCAGCCCTC